TTTGTTTTAACCAATGTCTTCGAGAGATCGCCAAGCCCTTTCAAGTTAAAGAATGCATTGTCCATTTCTCGCACATAGTCAATATAGTTGTCAAGCTCACAACTAAGATCTTCAAGCTTAGAAGCAGTGAACTCATTTGGATAATATGTAGCAAGTTTCATAATCTTATTTTTATCATAAATTGCAAAAGAATCATCGGGCTCATACTAGCCATACCAAGAAGAAGATCAGTATTCACTTCACTAAAATGACTGTTAAGCTCCGAAAGTTGCAAATCAATAGCAGCACAAAAAACATCTACGTGCAAATGATGAGAATATGTAACAGTTGAGCTTTTGCGCTTCGACTTTCCAAGACCATACTTCTCATCCATTTTTGGGATCACAATACCATTTTTATCACAAAACTGTGAGAATGCACGGGAGAAAATATGATTGATATATTCTCATATGTTAAACATGATACAATGAGCCCTATATATATACATAACATGTCCTACTCCTAATACATATGGGATTAGGGTTACATAATTATTCTAACACTCCCCCTCAAGCTGGTGCATATAAATCATATGTACCGAGCTTGTTACATATGTAGTTAATATGAGGGCCAGTGAGAGACTTGGTGAAAATATCTGCAAGCTGATCATTCGACTTCATAAACTTTGTAGCAATATCTCCCGAGAGTATCTTTTCTCTGACAAAGTGACTGTCAATCTCAATGTGTTTAGTTCTCTCATGGAACACTGGATTTGACGCAATATGAAGAGCAGCTTGATTATCACACACAAGTCCCATCTGACTAATCTCACCAAATTTCAACTCCTTGAGAAACTGTTTGATCCAAGTTAGCTCACATGTCGCCATAGCCATTGCTTGATATTCTGCTTCTGCACTAGACCGAGCAACCACATTCTATTTCTTGCTCTTCCAAGATACCAAAATTTCCTCCTACTAAGACACAATATCCAGAAGTAGAACGTCTATCAGAAGGTGATCCTGCCCAATTAGCATCTGAGTATCCAACGATGTGCTCATGGCCTCGATCCTCAAACAATAAACCTTTGCCTGGAACTGATTTTGTATACCAAAGAATGCGAACAACTGCATCCCAATGACTGTCACACGGAGAATCCATAAACTGACTCACAACACTCACAGGAAAGGAAATGTCAGGTCTTGTCACTGTAAGGTAATTTAATTTACCAACCAACCGCCTATATCTTGCAGAGATCGCTAAGAGGCTCCCCCTGTCCTAGCAGAAGTTTAGAATTCGGATCCATCAGAGTGTCAACAGGTCTACAACCTGTCATTCCTATCTCCTCAAGAATATCTAAGGCATACTTTCGTTGTGAGATCACAATACCTGAGCTAGACTGAGCGACCTCAATACCCAGAAAATACTTCAGTTTGCCCAGATCCTTAGTCTGAAAGTGTTGAAAGAGATGTTGCTTCAATTTAGTAATAACATCCTGGTCATTGCCGGTAATAACAATGTCGTCAACATAGACCACCAGATAAATACAGAGACTCGAAGCAGAATGCCGATAGAATACAGAGTGATTAGCTTCACTCCAAGTCATGCCAAATTCCTGGATAACTGTGCTGAACTTACCAAACTAGGCTCGAGGAGACTGCTTTAGACCATAAAGTGACCGGCGCAAGCGACATACGAGGCCACGAGACTCCCCCTGAGCAACAAACCCGGGTGGTTGCTCCATATAAACTTCATCCTCAAGGTCACCGTGTAAAAAAGCATTCTTAATGTCCAGCTGATAGAGTGGCCAATGGCGAACAACAGCCATGGATAGAAAAAGGCGGACTGATGCTATCTTAGCCACGGGAGAGAAGGTATCACTGTAATCGAGCCCAAATATCTGAGTATATCCCTTGGCAACAAGACGAGCCTTAAGACGATCAACCTTACCATCCGGACCAACCTTGACTGCATACACCCAACGACAACCAACAGTAGATTTACCTGAAGGAAGAGGGACGAGCTCCCAAGTACCACTCGTATGTAAAGCAGACATCTCGTCATTCATAGCCTGTCGCCATCCTGGATGAGACAATGCTTCACCTGTAGACTTAGGGATGGAAACAGAGGACAAAGAAGATAAAAAAGGATAATAGGGTGATGACAAACGATGATAACTTAAACCGATATAATGGGGATTAGGATTAAGGGTGGTCCGTATACCTTTCCGAAGTGTAATCAGTGTACTAGGAAGAGACAAGTCCGCAGTAGGAGCAGGGTCAGGTGCAGGACGTGAATCAGCTAGGCCTGATGCTGGGTGCGGACGACGATGATATGTCAAGAGTGGTGTTCCTGTGGCAGGGAGTGTAGGAGGAGCCACACTAGACTCCCCAACAGTTGTAATGGGTAAGACTTCTGTGGCGGAAGGTGAAGGAGGAGCTATAGTAGACTCCTTAAAGGTCGGGATAGGTAAGACCTCAGATATGTCAAGGTGGTCAGAATGGTCAGAAGAGGTAAAGAAAGGTTTAGACTCAAAAAATGTGACGTCGGAGGACATAAAGTACCTACGAAGATCAGGTGAGTAACAACGATATCCCTTCTGAACACGAGAATAACCAAGGAAGACACACTTGAGAGCACGAGGAGCTAACTTATCTTTCCCAGGGGCTAAGTTATGAATGAAACAAGTGCTCCCAGAAACACGAGGGGGAACAGAGTATAAGGGTGACTGGGGAAACAATACTGCATACGGAATCTGATTCTGAACAGGAGATGAAGGCATCCGATTAACCAAATAACAAGCTGTGAGAACTGCATCGCCCCAAAAACGCAATGGAACATGAGATTCAATGAGAAGTGTGCGAGCAGTCTCAATGATGTGCCTATTCTTTCTCTCTGCAACCCCATTTTGCTGAGGGGTATAAGGACAAGAGGTCTGATGAATAATTCCTTGAGAAGTCATAAACTGCTGAAATTGAGAGGATAAATATTCTAAGGCATTATCACTGCGAAAAGTGCGAATGGAAACACCAAATTGATTTTTAATTTCAGCACAAAAATTCTGGAATATAGAAAACAACTTAGAACGATCTTTCATTAAGAAAATCCAAGTACATCTTGAATGATCATCAATGAAACTAACAAAATAACGAAATCCCAAGGTTGAATTGACTCTACTAGGACCCCATATATCAGAATGAATTAAAGAAAAAACAGACTCTGCATGACTCTCAATACTACGAGGAAAGGAGGCTCGGGTATGTTTCCCGAGCTGACATGACTCACATTCTAATGTAGATAAACTAGACAAACTAGGCACCATCTTCTGAAGCTTGGATAAACTTGGATGTCCTAAACGTCTATGAATTAGGTCCGGAGGATCTGTAACTAGACATGCCTTGGAGGAATTGAGTGAGTTAAGGTAGTAAGGCCTTCTGATTCAAGTCCTGTTCCAATCGTCTGTCCCGTACTGCGGTCCTGCATAATAAAAGAATCATCAATAAAATATATACCACAATGGAGGGCATGAGTCAAACGACTAACAGATGCAAGATTAAAACGACAGTCAGGGACATAAAGAACGGAATCTAGAGTGACAGAGGGTAGGGGATTCGCTTGTCCAACACCTTTTGCTTTAGTTTGAGACCCATTGGCTAAAGTAACAGTGGGAAGAGACTGTGAATACGCAATATTTGACAAAAGTGATTTATTACCAGAGATATGATCAGAAGCGGCTGAGTCCACAACCCATTGTCCAAGAGTACTAGACTGGGAAACACAAGCAAAAGAATTACCAACAACAGAAGTATCAGTCTGAGCAACAGAGGCTACTTGTGGAGATGTCTGCTTACTTGCTCGATATTTAAGGAACTCATTATACTCCCCTTCAGATAAAGAAAATCCCTGATTACCTGTAGTCTCGGTCTGAGCAACATAAGCATTTTTGGGTGGGCGACCATGTAAAGAATAGCACACGTCACAAGTGTGTCCAAGTTTATGACAATAAGAACACTTGGGTCTAGATCTTCCAAAACGACATCCTCCTCGTCTATTCTCCATAGTTTGAGATGCCCGATTGTCCACTGACTGGGATCGAGGACAGATGAGTCAAGTGTCTGTGATGAGCTCACTAGGTGACTTGGTGCTGCAGCAAGGCGAAGTAATTGAGAGAATAATTCATCAACTGTGGGGATAGTCGGACTAGCCAAAATCTGGTCACGTACTGAATCAAGGTCATTAGGGAGTCCGGCGAGTGTAAGAACTAGAAACATCTTCTTGTCGTTGCTCTTGTTGCTTTTCAATACTAGCAAAAACTGGCATCAACATCTCAAATTCTTCCATGACTGCCTGTACTTGTCCCAAGTAAGTAGACATATCCAATTCCTGTTTCTTCAAGCTTGTCATTCGCGATATTACATCATAGAAACGAGATATGTCATTGATGTATAAATTACGAGCCTTTTCCCAAACTAAATAACATGTCTGGAATGGACGGAACAAGGGCATCAATTTGGAATCAATAGATCGCCACAGGATACTGCATAACTGAGCATCGACCTTCTCCTAAAGTGTTTTGGCCTTTTCATCGCCTTCGCTAGCCTTTTTTGTTAAATGATCTTGAACTCTTTGACCTTTACACCACAACTCGACAGACGAAGTCCAAGCTAAGTAGTTTGAACCTCCCATTAAAGGTTTTGAGGTAATCATAACACCGGAACTGCCAGAACCCGGGTTTTTAGACCCGAAAGCATCGACTCCCAAAGACATCATTGGATTATCACCAAATAACAGAAAGAATCAACTGACAACTCGCTGAAACAGATGAAGGAAACACTGTTTTTCCGGAAAATTACTGTAGCTGCCGGAAAAAGTCAGTGTAGTCGCCGAAAAAACTCAAAGTGGTCGGAATCAAACGTAAAAGGTATGGATAGACTCGGAATTACTAGGCGATCCGACTGTCCAACTGGAAGTTTTCAAAAAATGGCCGGAACAGTGCTCACGTGCCGGCGCGTGGGGCGCGTGGGTCAGATCTCGCCGGAAAGTTCTGGCGCATGAGGGCGCGTGTACGTGAGTTTTCCGGTGGGGTTTACTGGGGTTTGGTCGCCGGAGCCTGAGGAGTCTCGTGGTGGTGTTGGATTTTTGCACACACCAACAGAAATTGATATAATTATGAGCAGCCTTCTAAGTCGTTGGAAAATTGCACGGCGACGAGGTCTTTCTTCTCGGAAGTCGCTGGAATGATGCACAGTGATAAGTTTCTCACTAAAGCTCTGATACCATGTGAGAATGCACGGGAGAAAATATGATTGATATTATTCTCATATGTTAAACATGATACAATGAGCCCTATATATATACATAACATGTCGTACTCCTAATACATATGAGATTAGGGTTACATAACTATTCTAACACAAAGAGACATCTTCCACCAAAGAATTCCATTTAGATTCCCTCATTGTTTGCAATTGCCTCTTTGAGAAATTAACAAGTTTCATAGCACTAACAATATCTTGATCTTTTCTTTGCAGAGCCATATTCAAATCATATGTAATTGTCAATATTTTTAACATCAAATGTAATATACTCACAAACTCATAAGATCTTATATCTTCCACTAGACTTTTTGCCAGTGCTTTCTCCTGATAATTTGAACCCTCATTTGCAAGAACTCCAAGTACATGAACAATTGATGAGTATAAAGAAATAAAGTTACACAATGTCTTAAAGTGTGATCCCCAACGGGTATCACCTGATCTTTGAAGCCCAAGTTCTTGATTTAATCCACTTCCTGTATGAACTTCAAGCACTAATAACTCATCTAATTTTTCAGTTTGATCATCTCTAAGCATCTTCGTACACTTATAAGAACCTCCAACTACATTCAAAATATTAGCAAGAACATCAAAAAAATTATTTACATCATGGTGTTTCTTTGCAACTGCTACAAGAGTCAGTTGCCATTGATGAGCAAAGCAATGTATGTAATATGCCGAAGGATTATCTTTCAGAATCAAAGTTTTAAGACCATTGATTTCTCCTTGCATGTTACTAGCTCCATCATACCCTTTTCCCCGTATTAGAGATGAATTTAATGAATGTTGTAAAAGCAAAGAATATATTGCTTTTTGTAATGCATGTGCAGTAGTAGCTTTTACATGAACAAGACCAAGGAATCGCTCAATAAGTTCACATTCCTTGTTGACATAGCGCAAAACAAGAGCCATTTGTTCCTTATGAGATACATCCTTAGACTCATGAACTAATATCCCAAAAAAATCCCCATTCAAATCTTCAATAATTGCTTTCACCGTTTCTTTTGCACAAGAATTCACAATATTTTTTTGAATATCAGGAGAAGTCATGGTGTTATTTTTTGGAGCTTTTTCTAATACCACATTTTTCATATCTTCCTTCCTATAAGCATACCATTTTAAGAGATCTAAAAAATGGCCTCTTCTTGTAGAAGTTATACTCTCATCATGGCCCCGAAAAGGAATTCCTTCTTCCAAAAGATATCTTATCACATCAATTGAAGCATTCAAGCGAGCTCGATGTTCACTTTTAATTTTTCTAAATTGCTTGTCCAAAGAAGTTAGAATGGATTGTGCTTGGTTCACTAAATCTAGCATCATCTTGAAACATCGGTTATGAACACTATTCACGTCACCCACATGTGATTTAAGCCTTTCTAAACCTTTATTCCAACCTCTAAAACCATCTGTTGTGAAAGGACCACCTACTTTTTTTCTATATCCTCCAACCTCTTTTTTAAACAAGTAACAATATAAACAAAATGTTGCATCTTGTTTAATGCTATATTCTAACCATTGAGAACATGAAGTTCTAAACCATTTAGGATTAAAGTGACGCATTATTCCACCAAAATCTCTTTTTGGAAAGAAAAAACCACAAGGCTGAGAATGCCCATTTTGTATATAATTTCTCCTTACTCGGTCACGTAAATTAGGAGGATATTCTGAAATTGATTTTCTCTCAGTGGGATCGAGCTCATAATCCAACACTTTATCCAGTGCTTGGGAAGGAAATTAGTATTGTTATTAATAACTTGGAGAACTTGTCAAAGAAGAGCTAGAAGAAGTTACAGAAGCTTGAGCTTTGTAAAAACTCGTGATTATGTCGACTTTTGCTAGTAGACCCTAAAAATCATAAAACACAAATTACACTTCAAGTTGTATGTTTCACAATGCTTCAAGTCTTGGCTGCTTTGTGCTTGAGTATATTTTTACAAATAATTTAGTATTAGCCTATGTGAAAATAATACTAGAGCAACATATTACATATTCGAATAATGATTCGAATAGTGATTCAACTTTTCATTTGTTTGCAAATCTTAAACACCAAAATAACATTTACAACTTATAATCTTGCTTCCCACATTTATTATATAAAATATAATAAATTTTTTATCTCTGATTAGTACCCAAATGCAAGTTGGTCTCGCTAAGAAACTAAAAACAAGAAAGTAGGACCAATGGACCACATATCTTGTCCGTCGGCTTGTTGGGGATTCCAAGTTTGAACTTTTGGAAAGTAGAAAAGCACAAATTGACAAAGAGTATAGAGGTCAAAATGTTGGACAACCCTAGAATTAAAGATTAAAAATCAGATTTTATATAAATTATCAAATATAAAATATAAAAGAAAAACATGAAGCAAAAAATCAGAAAAGAAGAATTGAAGAAGGAATAAGGGTCTAACTTCTAAGGGAGAAAATGGTAGCAACTAGCAGCAAAAGTCGATCAATAAAGACAGAGTCACACGGTCACAGAGCAGATCAGCAGAACCCTAGCTTTTTTTGATTTGGGAATTTTGGTTTCATCCTTGTTTGGAGTTGTAAGGCGTCTGTTTTTGTTTAGAGTTTTGTCTTTTGTTTATTAGAAAGAAAAAACTACAAAAAATGTTAGTTTAGAGGAAAGTCAGAGGAATTGTTGTTGGAGTTGTTTTGGAATTATAGGTCGTCATTTACTCATTTAGTTTGTGCTTTCTAAAAATATTGTAAAAAATAATGAAATAACACTGCTTTCAGAGGGAATCAAACTCGGGTGTCTCCCAACAAACCCATCCCCCCTTACCATTGAACCTAGACCACTTTTGTTACTGGGTTCGGCAGTGATATATATATATATATATATATATATATATATATATGTATATGTATTATGTAAGTTAAATTTTAAGT